TCACTGTGTTACCACTGCAGGAGTCAGAGACATGCTACAGTTCATTCTTGCTCTCCTGCTTCCATCCAGCTTTCTGTCCTATCTGCAAGCCCTGCTGACCTGAAGAAATGTCAAACTCAACTCCAGATACAGAGGCAACAGCCTTGCCTAGACATTTTTACTAGTTTTCATAATGGGTAAGTCTAATCCCTATGATTAATCCCCTATTCCATGTCATACAGAGTAGCTCTGATTTCCTGATCAAACGCTAATTGATACAACAAGTTACTCCCATGGCCTTAGCAAATGCAAAGACCTTCTATCTCTGCTTCCCGTGTGGTTCCTCTGATCAGAACACTGATGCTTCCTCCAGCCTTCTGCTTTCTTGATGGAACTTTTACCACTAAACCACTGCCACCATCACCACCACTGCCACCAAATCATTATCATCATTACTACAACCACCCGACTGTCATGTTCACCACCATCAAACCACCATCATTACCATCATTACCATCATCACTACCATTACTGCTATCACCAGTATCATCACCAGCACCACCACAGTCACCATTACAACTACCACCACCATCATCACCACCACCCCTATCACTATAACCATCACCTGCCACCAAAATCAGCACTACCACCACATCAATACCCTCACCTCACCTCAACACCGCCATTACCATTATCATCATTCTCATTATCACCATCACTCCTGGTCATTCTCACCAGGCCACCGCTACCACACCATCACCCCTCCTTTATCTCTGTTCATCTGCACAGCAGTCTCACCCAGGTCAGATTATTCCTAGCTGACAAATGAGGAGAGGTTAAGTAACTTGTCAGCAATCAAGGATAGAGTTAAACCCAGGTCCAACCTCAAATTCCCTATTCTTTCACTACACTACACAGCCTCCAAAACTATGTTTGACAGAGCAAAGGGCAGTCAATGGTTAGTGGAAAAAAGGACTGAAAGCAGCAGAACTGTGCTGATCAAGAAAGGAGGGGCAGAAGAATAGTAGCTAGAAGGCATAAGGCAGGCAAAGAAGGGATGGATTCAGACAAGATCCCCCAGAGCAGAGGGGCAGAAGGGGGTTCCACATGGGTGGCAGTTCTGATCCAAAGCCTGTGTCTAGGATTCAGAGAGGAAGTGGCCTTGCTCCTGCAGACCTCACGGCAAGCCCCAGAGGAAAGCTCACCTACGCATGAAGGGCAGAAATCAGAGTCCGAGGGGCCAGTGAGTTAAAAGGGGTGAGTCAGAAACGAACAAGGGAGGCACCTGCAATGCCACTGAATGTCTTAGCCAGGGTGGTTCTCAGTCCTGGCTGCACAATAGAAGCAGCTGGAGAGTTAAAAAATGTACTAATACCCAAGCGCCACACACAACACTTCTATGATTTTTGTAATGCTTCTCAATTCATTCGAATGTGCAGGAAGGGTTGAGAAGCAATGCTTTAACCCAACGAAACTCTGGAATCATGCTTTCCTTCCACCTGAGCCCTCAGAATTCCCTCACACTCCAGTACAAGCTAGCTGGCCTCTTAAACCAAGTGTCTCTGGGTGCTAGATGGTGGTAAACTAGAAGGGAGAAACGGATCCTTCCTAGGATAGGGAAAAGATCAGTCTAATTTTAGACCAAGGAATCTACCTTTTATTTTTGGGTCACAAAATTAGATAATTAATCTATAAGTTGAAACAATAAGAAAAAGAAGGTAAGCTGAAGGAGACTCTCACAGTTTGGGTAACGGGCTATTCCTCTCCCCAGCCTGGAGGTGAACTTGCCTTATTTTCTACTATATTCATATACTTAATAGAACAAGAGAAATTATAAACAACAAGAGCCACTGTTAGCATTTGCTGAATATTTATTGTGTGCTGGGCACTGGGTTAAATTGCATAATTCTCAAGGTAACCCTATGTGGTGGATGCTAACATATTCCTCATTATACAGATGAAGAAACAAAAGCCCGGGGAGGCTGAAGAACTTGCCCAAGCTCACACCAGCAGCAGAGCTGGAATATGCACAGATATATGCCTCCAGGGTCCACACTCCCAACTCCACACCACACAGCATCCCAATTGCCATGGGTTCTGGGATAAGTATTACTGTCCCTATTTTACAGGTGGGGAGACTGAGGCTGCTGCATCTCACTAAGCACAGCCTGGATTTGGAACCTCCACAAGTAGAATATACCAGAAGAGCTGAGCAGCAGTTTGGCCTACAGGCAGAGAGGTTGCTAAATGCCCAATTCTTCCCCTCCACCACCCCACCCTTTATGCTCAGAGGCTACACAGAAATCACATGGCATGACCTTTCAAAATAACTGCATTTTTAAAAATCGACTCAAGACCCAAACCAGTATTGGTATACGAGCCGAGTCTGAAAATGACACATAAATAGATGGAAAGGGCGAATCCAACCGCGCTGTAGGTTGGGCAAAACATCTCAAATTATTTGTTTCAAATATTTTGCAATTGGCAAGACCCAAACCACATTTTTCCAAGCATTCCCTTCTCCACCCCACCCCCACTACCCAGTTTTACATTGTAAGCCCATGTGTATTTCCCAAAAAATGTAATCCATATGTCTCTGAGCCGTTTACACTTAACTCATCAAATTATTGTTTGCTAAGAGTTGTTTGCTGCCCATGAAGCCTTCTGAGACTGTCTGTGAGGCCTTCAAAAGCCCCTTTCTGCCTCTTTTCTTAGAAACAGGAAGCTGCATTTAGCCAAGGGCAAATGAAATTGAACATGTTGGCACTGGGAGGGAAGAGGTTCCAGGGCCAAAAAGTTTGTTCTTGTTCTCAACATGGCAGAATATCAAGGAAGGTCTCTCTGAGGTGGTATTTCAAGGCCCAGAAAACCTGCTCTCAGTGGAATACCAAGCTCGAGATTGAGTCCAGTTTTGTTTTCACCCCTCTTCACCATCCCTCTGTCTGCCATGGTCCCTATGATGGTTCAAGAAAGTCATAGAAAGCAAGCAACAAATCTGTGACCTGCTGGTGAGACCGATGATATCAACTGCTGTGGTGGAAGTATTACCGACTTTCCACCTCAGCAGCTAAGGTCTTGCAAGTTCTGCTTTTCTATCTGCCTTTTAAAAAAGCATGCATGTACATAGGCAACAAACCAAACACTTTTCAAAACAAACCATTCCATCTGATATGGTTTAAACTCATCCATGTTTTTTGGCTTTAGCAAAAGGTTTTAGTTTTTTTTTTTTTTAATTGCTTAAGTTCAGCTAACTTATGTCTCTTGGGAAAACTGATCTATGTAAATGTGATTTAACTAAAGGGGTTTGAGCCACTCACATGTGTTTTACATTTTCTAATCATCCTGAGCTCTGTACATGGTGAGCAGACTGAAAAATGATGGTGGTCTCATTTCAACATCAATTTTTATCCATTCTATCTCCCAAGAATGCCAAATGATGGCTGGAGAGAATCTCACTTCCTGTTTCCAGACGATCAGAAGCTGGTATTTATGAAAAGTTGGAGGTGTGTGGAGTTGATTGCATGGCTAGAAGATCCAAAGAAAGATGGCAATTCTTTTAAGATATCTATATTCATTAAATTGGCTAAAACTTTAGAAGATATTCCTTTTAAATATTATATTTCCCTGATTAAAGTAAGTTCAGCAAACATTTAAGATGCCTACTGTATTAGGCATTGTTGCATAACAAATTACCACAACCTTACCGGCTTAAAGTAATATACATTTGTTATCTCAGTTTCCACAAGTCAGGAGTCCAGGCATGGCTGAAGCAGGTCCCCTGCTCAGCTGTTCATATGTTACAGTTAAAGTGTTCATCTGGAGGCTTGACTATGGAAAAAATCCACTTCCAAGCTCATTTGGATTGTTGGTAGAATTCACTTCCTTGTGGCTATGTGGCTGAGCCACCTGTTTTCTCGCTAGCCGGTGGCTGGGAACTGCTGTCAACTTCTAAAGGCCACCCTCAGGTCTTTGCCACATGGGCCCCTCCATAGGCCCCCTTAAAACACAGCTGCTTACTGCTTCAAAGCCAGCAGTGGACTGTCTTCCTTCAGGAAGGGCACAGTCCTCTTTTAAGGGCTTTTGCCTGATTAAGGTAGGGCCACCCAGTATAATCTCCTTTGTGAGTAACCCAAGATCAACTGATCTGGGACCTTAATTATAGCTGCAGAAGTCCTTCACCTTAGCCATATAATGTAATCTAATCAGAGAGTGACAGCCATCATATTCACAGGTCCCATTCATATTTAAGAAGAAGAGATTTTCTAGGATATGGATGCCAGAGGGGTTGGGAGTGATCTTAGAATTCTGCATACCATACCTTCTATGTGCTAGGACATGGCAATACATTAGCTATGAATCCTACCTACAAGAAACTACCAGGCTTTAAGCCAGGAGTGGTAATATGTGCCTGTAGTTCCAGCTACTCC